CCTGATTAGGTAATTGCGTGAAATGAGAAATGGGTTAATCGTTCTTAAAATAACGTATCTCTGTTAGGACGGTGTTAAGGGTGTAAAGTACGAGTATACATACAGATTTAGAATATGCCGTGATAGCTCAGTGGCGTACGCTTTTAATTCAATACATTTCAGCAAACTTAGTTCAAATGCCGCCGTTAGCACCCATGATAATGTTAATTGCAATTTCATGACTGGATCGCCACGTGCTCGATGGTGAAATCAATGATACACAATGTATTTCGAAGATATGTGAAATCAGACTATACGCAGTTGGGTCGCTTGGTGGACTATGCCCTGATATCCTATTTTCAGAGGACCTTTCCTCAGCAGTGTAACATATATACGTTGTTTTTTTTTTCATCTTTATAATTTACTACTTTTATAATAATGAAATCGTTCGCAATGTCATTGAACAGCAGGCGTAAAGTGCTGGTGTTCAGTTTGAAACTTTTTATAGGATAAAGGCAAATAGAGAACCCGCAACAATTGACTAGAGAAAAACTCAAGTATTACTTGCATTCTTCTTCAGATAGGCTCTCTCGTTGAAGGTTCCTAAGTCGTTTTTCTAACTACAAGAATTTCAAATTCCATTTTTTCTTATTCACTACTAGCTTTTCGCCTGAAGCTTCGCTCGCGTTAAAGCCCTTAAATAATCTTCAATCTTCATATCTTTCCACCCATTAACAACACTTTTTTCCAATTAAAAATAGCCTATGTCCTTTCTCAGGCTCTAGACTATCTGTGTACAAAATTTGATTTAAATCGGTTCAATAGTTTTGGAGTGAAAGCGAGATAGACAGACAGAGTTCCTTTCGCATTTATAATATTAGTATTCACTATATCACGGTGGTACAAAATGGATCAGATTAGATTTTTTATTATCACTATCTCTCAGAGATTACTACTACCCGAAATGTAGCATAACCGACAAAAAGATACCGCAGGTGAGGGAGCGACTCGTAACCTTCGCTACGAGCGGAGTGGAGTAGGCTGTAGCACCCTCTGAATATCTCACTAATCAACGTATCACACTAAAGCGCTCCACAGTCCGGTCGGCGGGTCAACGAAATATTGGACGCGGCCAAGGTGAAATAATCCACTCGAATAAATTAAAATTAATGAGATTAAAAGTGCTCGCGGCGACGCCGCTCTAACTGAAATACGAATTAATGCCCGCTTCGTCGCTTGCGAAGTGCATAATGGCATTAAATTTCAACATTACGAACGTTTACCACTTCCCAATCGTGGTAAATAAAGAGAATAAGAATGACAGGTTTTTCTAAAACTAATATTAGTAGACAATATTTACAGTTATTAAGAAAATAACAGCAAATATTAAAATTCTTAATAATTAAAATTCTATACAAAATAAAGTAAAAAATTAAATATCAAAACGATCGGTGAAAAATTAATTTTATTATAAATGAACAATAAACTGTGAAACTATGTCGAGTGATCGGGATGAATAATGGAAAACCGTGATATTTTTAACCGTCAGCGTAAGCATGTTTAAAGATTAATTTCTTTTCAATATAAAGTTATCCCATTCTTGGGTATGGTGTATTCGTAAACAGTGCTAATAAACAGTCGATAACAAAATAAAAAAGTAGCTAATCATTTTTTAAGGTTCTGTTCTCATAAGGACCATATAACTAAGGCTTCGCTGTCTGTCTGTCCGTCTGTTTATCTTTCTGTCTGTCTGTCTATCTATCTGTCGGTCCCTGTGTCACACGGCTGTATCTCATGAACCATGATAGACAGTTGAAATTTTCACAGATAATGTATTTCTGTTGCCGCTATAATAACAAATACTAAAAAAATAGAATAAATAATATTTAAGTGGGGCTCATGGCGCCACAGACATGGCGACATGATTTTTTTTTTGCTGTTTTTATAGAGAATGGTACGGAACCTTCTTGCACTCGAACTTGGCCGATTTTCTTTAAAAACAATGCTCTTATTTTAGGATAACATTATCCTGTGTTGTAAGGACGTGTTATAAGTATAAATTTCACGCGGATAAACACCCAGATATGAAGCAACTATCTGTGGGTCACACAAATAGCTGTCCCGTGTGGGGATCGAACCCACGACCCCCGACTCCGAAGCCAATAGCATAGCAACTTCGCCACGGAGTCATCCAATTAATTTAAAGATGTCTTTTTAATTAGCCAAATGTATTTTAATTAGTCAGTCATTGACGAGAGACGTAGCTTTGAGGGTACGATTTATTAATTGCTATTGATTAATTGCCGTTACAGTTCGGCCATTTAAATTTCATTCTATCACCTCAAAAGTTAAGACTTTACTTACTGATTGCCAGTATTGTACATTAATAGTATAATATTCCTGGGGACGCGACGGCAGGCCCAATCGGCTCTTTCGCTTTCCTCAAAATTGATATAATTAACATTTTCTCCCTTCCTTCTTCAACTCCCACCTCCACTTTCAAACGGCTTATCATATTGTGAGCGCGAAACTCGGCGAGCTTTCATTAAGGAGTGCAAATTAAATTCGCCTCAGAAGCGATTTTTAAGCGCGCCGTCTCTCCTAATTAAAAACCAATTAATTGGTAAAGTTGCCGAGATTAAGGCAGTGACGTGGCACTTTCCGCTCTTTTGGCATGAGCAAAGTTAGGATTAGAAGTGCGACCTCGACTATCCATCGAGGTACCTGTATCGCATCGGGTGTGAATTCGAAACATTAAATAAAACTGTGAATGTAAGTTAAGATCAATTAAAATGTTAAAGAATTTAATTAACACGAATTGTTGTAAATATACTTCATATTTGCAATAGTATAAAAATAACTGTACTCTATAAACCTATAAACCTTAACGTGGTAGTTGGAGATAGTTTGTATAATATACGTTTCAGGGAGCATAGAGTTAATTGCTAGCTTAATAGCTTGAATTCCATAACTTGACAAGAAAAGTGCCTACAGACGTATGTCGAGCAGAAAGCAAGAGTAAAAAATGTCACAACCATTAATAATACTAATTAATGTCCTAAAAACTTAACACAAAGACAACAAAAAACTTATGTCATTATATAGAAAGAAGTCTTTCAATGAAGTCAAAATTGTTTTTAAATCATATGGCAATTTGCAGAAAATTCAATAAGATATGGCTTTCTGAAGACAGTGTGTGTAAACGGCGGAAAGTTAGAGACATCCGTATTATTTAAGTTCCGGCTAGGAGCCCGCACAATACCTCAAACCACGCGAGACGGTCCGTTTCTCATATTATTGTGCGGATAATGTTCTGCGGGTCTTCCGGGGGAAGTGGTCGCTGAATCTAATAACAATTTATGCGGACATCGAATAATATAACATATAAATAATGGATACAAGTTTATACGCTAGTGTAAGCGCGTTCCGCGTGGTACAAGTCAAGGGAGAGACCGATCCAAGAACTCGTTTTGCTGTTAAACCTCGCTTTTATGTTAGATTAATGGAATAATCCATTTTTAGTAATACTTTCATTTCAACGCGCAGATGTAACGCGAGAATGTTTAGTGTGACATTAAACATACGAATGTACCTTAATGTTTGAAGACTAATGTCTTCAATCAATGTGTGTTGCCAGTGATGACCTGCGGAACCGAGACGTGGTCCGTTACTGCTGGCCGTATGAAGAAGCTCAAAGTCGCTCAGCGAGCTATGGAGCGGGCTATGCTCGGTATTTCTCTGCGTGATAGAGTTCGTAACGAAGATATCCGCGGTAGAACCAAGGTAACCGACATATCTCAGAGGATTAGCGGCGACAAGCTAAAGTGGCGACGGGCCGGCCCGTAGAATCGATCGTAGAATCGATAACCGTTGGGGAAGAAAGGTTCTCGAGTGGCAGCCTCGTACTGGCCATCGCAGTGTAGGACGATCCCCCACTAGATGGAGTGACGACCTGTGCAAATGTGCGGGAAGTCGATGGATGCAGGTGGTTCAGGATCGTACTTCGTGGCAGTCTATGGGGGAGGCCTATGTTCAGCAGGCTGAAATGATGATGGTGATGATGAAACATACTGTTTTATTGCATTTTTACTACTACGTCAGGACTTCTACCTCGACCAATTTTGGCTAAAATTTTGGTTATATCGACACTTTGCGATTAACGATGTTAGTATGTTAAGTTTCATGTGTGAAAATTAAATTTTTAATCTTGAGGAGTCTATGGCGAAGTTGAGAGACGCCACAAACAAAAAGGCTTGTCTAAAACGATTAGTTGACCCTTGCGAAATTGTGGAACATTACCTTGATCTGTCAAATAAAATTAATTTCTTACAATCTATTTCGCTATTTTTCTAATGTTGTTTGAGTCATTAAATGAGATTAAACATTTTGAAATTTATGGCGTATCGACTTTGAGAAGTAATATACTTATAGAGATATTTATATCGCCAATTATGCTTAAACACCCGCTTCAGCGCGTAACTTTCGCCCGTCGAGAGAAGACAAAAGAAGGGTCATTCGGATCTAATAAAGTTCGGTCTCCGATTCGTCCAAATCACGGAGAGTTTATTAACTTTGTCTGTTTCGTTCGGCCGACGTGAGCGCTGCGGCAGATTTATAAGTGCCGAGCGAGTGTCCCGAGCGTCCCACATAATTGTGTTTGCCCTTCACTTCGTCCGTTGCGTTTTTGGGCGTTTCCTAGTAAATGCGTATGACTGTACTTAAAACACACTATATCTATAGATACGAAAATTTTTGGAGGTTAAGACCGATGAGTCAGCTTAAATCAGACCTTATTATCAAACGTACTGAGGTGACCTGTTGCCACATAAAAGGCAAACCAAAACGCAACGCCTTAAGCCGGATAAAATTTTAGAAAGCACAGAAGTCTCTATATCTCCTTCAGCCTCAGAGAGCAGATTATATCCTTGGTGCTGAGTGAATTAACCAAGTAAGAGTCGTTAGAATCGCAACACTTATCAGGTAAGAGCTCGTAGGTAGGTATAACGATGGTAACAACTCACCGTGCATCTTGTCGTTGAGCAGGGCGTATCTCGGATTCGAAGCGACGTCCAGCGGCAGCGAGTTCCAGAGCCAGCGCACCCTGGGCGCTGGGCTGCCCGTCGCCTGGCAAGGGAGCGTGGCCGTGTGGCCCACCTCCACCACCATGGTGCTAGGCGGCGGCGCGATAGACGGGAAACCGGGAGGCACTTTGTCCGCTGCGGGGATGAGACAACAGTATGAGGTGAAATCCACTGTTTAACGACAAATTTCTTTGGGAGGTTAAATTTTATGATGTTTTTAGTTACGTGTTGTCTTCCTCGGACGGACCTGCGTTCGACAGCAAATACTGTTTCGTGGCCCTACCATAGCTAATGCATTGTGCAGTTCAGCCATTTTATCTGTATTCTAATAATTACACCATTTGATTGAAGTGAAAGTAATTAGAAAAACATTGCTTGTAATTCCATTCGCCCCATATTCAATTTAATAAAAAAATAACTACACACAATTTATGAAATAAAGATGTATTAGAGCTAACTAATGAACGTAGAAAGTTTGGTAAAAAAAAACAATACTGTTTGATTGAGTACAAGATTTACAATAAATTGCTCAATTACATGAAATTTTTCGATAGTATAAATACTTTCAAAGCAAAGCTGAAAAAGTAATCAACAATGTTCCGGAGGTGATAAACATAATATGTTACATTTACTAAATTTATGTCATTATAAGTGAACATTATGTTTTTACGTATTTGCAAGTCTGGTGAAAATGGAACTATCGTTGTTTAATGATAATAATAATACACGCGAACCGTTGAACGATGCTGTATGATATTTGATTTAATTTGTGCAGGATATGATAACATTTAATCTGCTAAGATGTGAATTTTTAAATACTTTCACAGAAAAGTTTAGAGGGTTTCACATACGTACCGTCTATACGATCAATCCCTTGCGATTAACAAATACCCAGCACGGTGATAAAAACTCAATTACAAATATCATACGTCCGTGTACAAGTCCATTTCGCTTTTATTACTTTAGAATTACACACGAATTGGCTTTGGCCATTTAATTTTTATTCATGCACAATCTCATTTAAACTGTCTCGATTTTCACGCGAATACTGCCATGGGACGTATCATCGTCATTACAAGTATGGCAGCAGATATGTGGGCGAGCGGTGGTTTTAGAAAATATCTAGATGTGGTAGAGCTATGCAACAGTTTTCACTGTTGCACGAATGGGCAAGTCCGTTAGGGTGAATACCTCGACCATACAGAAGACTGGCGTGTAGTGGATATATATTATACTTCTGCGTTTCGTCTGGTGTGTGTAACTTTATTAAAAGGAGCCTTGCTTGGCACCTTCTCACATTAAAAAAAATTAAAATGTAAAGCATCAATGTCTTATCTTTTTGCTCATAGAGGTCTTAAAGTTGAAAGACGCTTGAGATCTATTCCATAGGCCTATACATTCGCTTTGTTGTCGTGTGAAAGTTGGCAAATAAAAGAAGGCCATCAATTGATTTTAAATCGTTAAAAACGAAATGAGACGGTAGACATGAACCGTACCGGAACAAAGTAAGGTATTTGCGACTCACCGTGACACAGTGAATTGAACAAAGCAACGTTTTAAAAACTGTGTTCACAAAAGGCGATTTTATCGTGCAGATTTCTTCAAGCTATCCATTTAAAAGGGTCGACAAAGGTTGGCCAAACAATATAAATAAGGTCGTTTGTTATTTAATAAATTTTAAGCGCTTTATGCGGTTTCCACGCGAAGTGTTTTTAATACCGTAATAAAATTATTGTCCAAAGATTTTAAAGAGAAATAAACATTGGAAAAAGGGATTTTGTGTTTACAATAGAAAAGCCACGCCGGCTTTAACATTAAGAAATGAACACAGGAAAAATAAGGAAGAATTATTATAGAAACCATTAATGGAGAAGAGAAAGAAAAACGCCTTATAACCCTTCCACTCGCTGGCTAAAATTTCTGTCAAAGATTGCAATAATTCTTAGTAATTATGTTTTCCTACTTAACTTTACAGTTAAATTTAAATAAATTTGCTATGACGCACATCGGTAAGAGCCACAGATATTTTACTTGAATTTTCCAATTGAAAATTGAAAATAGGGAAGGAGAAAAGCATGTATAAAAGTGTAATCAATCGGCTCGGGGTGTGACCGGGGCCTTCTTTATTAAAAGGTGGCAACGCATTCTAAGCCAAGAAGAATTGCCTACAAATATCCTTAAGAAAGTGCAATAATTTTGGTGGCTTGGTATAACTTTTTATCATGTTTTGAGACAGCTAAACTTCTTGTTATTGCTGTTTGCAAGTTTCGAAATTTAATACTTTAAAAATGCTAGAATAAATGCAAAGAATAGGCTAATTCAATAATAATTGTCTAAGAGCTATAGAGAGTCTATTTTGGTTTTCGTGAAATAGCGCCACAAAATGTAGAAAAAGTTGTTTTCTTTATAACCCAAACAGCCTCAGTAAAATATTTAAATTTGGATCTTTTTAATCATCAAATCAATTTGATAATCGGCCAGAAACATGTAAAATGATTAAAATCTTTACCGTTATCATTATAAATGTTTACATAATTATATTAAGGAATTGTAAAGATTTTACTGAGGCATCCTATGTTCAGCAGTGGTATCAAACAGGTTGAAATGATGATGATGACGGGTTGTTTAAAATACTTGAATTGCTGATTACGAACAAACTACTTTTTACTTTCGACGATCTCGTCGTCAACCATTACTCTGTTAGCTTTTAAGTTGCGAATCAAATCGCGCGTTCCGTTTCATCGCGGCGGCGCGAGTGTATTAATTTATTCAAAGCGATAACTTCGCAGAAGATCGAGTAATCGCGTTGCGAACTCGGCTAATTTCCCTAACTCGGGTTCCATTCGAAGAAACGCTGAAGGCGCCCCATCTTAGCCAGTTCGCGGAATTAGCGGTGCGCTACATCCGCGGGCGGGTCCCGAATTACGTCCCTAAACTTTACGGGCGAATCACGGATTGCGGGTCCGAAACGTGTGGAACGTTTCGGCGAATATTCCGGAAATAATGTCAGTCTTGTTGGTTAATCAAATCCCGTCTGCGAGGCGGACGGCCGCCATTCGGTGGAACTTTAACTCGACTATCTTCGCTTCGAGTCGCGCATTAGGGAAGGCATCACGCGATGCTTCCTCCGAGTGCCGAGTTGAGCGGTTTCGGCGTCTGCTTCGATTACGAACTCCGCCGACCTTAGCCACGTAAAGTATGCATACATTTATGCTAATGACGTTGCAAGGGGGTTACGTAGGAACTTAATGCTGTAGATTTGACAGGTCCGTACACGAACATCTTGATAACAGAATCTTGCGTTAAAATGGAATTTGTAACGAACAATTAGGGCGGACTTTATGTATGTGTATTTAAAGATTGTGACTTAACCTATAAGTTCCGCTTTTAGGATTGTGACTTAACCTAGAGGTTCCGCTTCTATTGTGATAAACAAATTATAATATGTATATTTAATACTGTTCGTAGTATGTTGTAGTGTAGTATAGACTATTTTCTGTAAAAATATTTTATCGCGACTTATTTTTACTTTCGACTTTGAAAAGTACTATTAAATCTGGTGAGTAGTGACATCAGGAAATCAAATACCTCAGGCGATCCTGTGACCATGAATGACCCAAAGTATGTTCTGATATCCAGGATAGATTTTGTAGTAGTTTTTATCTTTTTATATCTTTTTAGTTTGTATCGATTGGGTCGTTAAAATTTGATTTAAAATTATTCCTAAAACCAGTAAAGTAAAACTTCGAGGTCTTAATCTGTTCAAATGCAATGAATAAAACCAGTTTACTATAAAGTTTGCATTAATTTACAAGCATGTATTAAAATCACATTAGGTATTTACGTAATGCCCATTGACCTCTCGAAAAACTTCTTAGAGATTTCAGGTAATGAACACTTTAATTGGGTCGGGCGTACAGAAGCGACCCCAGGCGTAACGGGTTTCTTTGAAATGCCCCACTAACGATCACCCTCACATCCACATAGTACCGACGGGTAATTGCTTGTACTTGTTATGTTATTAGCATTGTACGACATTCTCGAAGGTTCTGGAAGCTACCTGAAAAGAGAATGAAGCAGCTACCTGATGAGAGAATTAAGCAGGCCTACAGTCCGGTACGAGGTAATTTAAACGGGGAAGTTTCGGTTTATCGTTCTCATGCGAGTTCGGGCTCTTTCAATGTTTCCACGCACTCACATTATTTAAGCCCCCGGTTTGTGTGTGGTTAAGCTGTAGGTACATTTGTTTCGTTTTAATAAATTATTGAAACGTGCCAGTGCGCATTCAAAACAGAAGCTAAAATGAATTATTTCTGCTTAACAAGGGCGTATGAAAAATTTTAAGAGAGAATGACGATCTTGCTTAGCTGGCAAATTTACAAAACGTAGTCATTTCACAGAATACAGTATAAACATTTTTAAGTAATGAAAAAACATAAATCAGAAAAGAAAAGCTTAAAATATTATGGATAGAAAGTTGTTTTCTTATATTTCAGCATTTTTCAATCGGTGGCAATTTAATATGGATAATTTAGCGTAACCTTTAAAATACTTTGAAAGATTTTATAAAATAACATATCTCATAATTACGTAGACATTGTTATTGTATAAACCGGCAATCTAATATTTTTTTTAAAACAAAAAACGTTTTGTTGCTTTAAAAAAATTATATAACGAATGATAATAGGAATATATTGATATAACAAAGGATCATTTTATACCTGCAGATGTCAAAACTGAGGCTAATCGGATAAAGACGGATTAAATATAAATAAACTTTGGTTTTAATGGACTAATAAATAATTAGAATCACTAACAATCATTTGAATAACCTACAAAAACTCCCTAATTGAAGAATTTTATAAAGCTCGAAGTATGTTGAAAATAAAGCGATTTTTTTTCTACGACATCAGCGGTAATATTTTTGAATGAGAGACATTGGGCAGTGGTGGTCTATTTGCCGGGAAGAAGGTCTTACGCTCGACGGTCGCGGGTTCGAAAACAAGATATGTGCAAGTAACGAAACGTTACGTTATGTGCGTGCCAAAAATATCGTTACGAAACGTTTTTTTCAAGTGAACAGGCGGTTCAACTAATGTTAAGTAATTACCACCGATAATGAACATGTGAGCCTCGAATACCTCATTTATCAGACGATACCCGACAATGTAATATACTTCCACTTCACGCAGGTATACCGTGAGGCACTCCGGCATTCCCCGGATGAGCCTGCCCATTTGTGCTTGGGACTATCATGTGGCGGTGAATGCGCGTATCGCTTTGGTAGGTCAAAGCGGCCTTCCCTCCTCCGATGCAAACGATATCTCGATCTAAGCGAAATTAAGTTATCCCGATGACGAAATCCGCTTTGATAAAAACCGAAATGTTATCCGAAAGAAAACCGCTTTCAGTGACCGGCGAATAGAGACGCGTCACGTAAGCGTAATCACTTCGCCCTTGATTCGGCGAAGAATAAAATTTTTCCGGCGTTTGTTTTTAGGGTTCCGTACCCAAGGTAGGTAATACGGGACCCTATTACTAAGACTCCGCTTTCTGTGTCTCACTAGGCTCTATCTCATAAACCGTTATAGTTAGACCGTTTAATGTATTTCTGTTGCCGCTATAACAAAAAAAATACTAAAATCAGTACGGGACCCTATTACTAAGACTCCGCTTTCTGTCTGTCTGTCTCTCTGGTCTCACCAGGCTTTATCTCATAAACCGTTATAGTTAGACCGTTTAATGTATTTCTGTTGCCACTATAACAATAAAAATACTGAAATCAGGGTAAACAAATATTTAAGTTGGGCTCTCACACTACAGACATGATTTCTTGCCGTTTTTATAATGGTACGGAACCCTTCGTGGGCGAGTCCGACTCGCACTTGGCCGGTTTTCTATTCTCATCACTTCTATGATTCGTAAAATAATATTTAACAATATCTCGATTCGCCTTGAATTTTTTAGGAATCGATTGTTCAAATTAATAATATTTAAGTGGAAACCGATGGTGGTATAAATACGACATGTTGAAAAAATGTGTAACATCCTTGTAAAATCTTATTCCTCTGTTAGCTGAACTTTCTCGAACAATACTAGCAAAATAACGGTATTATCTTAAGATACTGTAGTAACAGAACCTTGAATGTTCTATAGCATGTTTTTACAAAGCTTAGGAAATAAGTCACCATTTAAGATATCCATAAAAATAACTAGGGTTTTCGGAACCTTAACTTGACGATTTTTTTTATTCAGGCGAATAGTGCACAGAGTTAAATAAAATGTTTTTCGGGTTTCGGGCGTTTGATTTCATTCTAAATTTGCGATTTTATAGGGCTTTTATCATATGTAGGTTTCATAATTTAATCTAAATACATAATGCGTACAACAAAGAAATGGACCAATTTTCCTTCAAACAGAACAATGTGCCTTCTAGGCAAAAGTAAATAGGCTTTAACTGAGCTAGTTCGTCTATCATCTACGGCTAATTCGCTCTTTATTATCATTTGGGGTAGCTTACAATTGCTAAACCATTCGCGTCCATTTTTTATGTGAAAAGGTGGCAAGTGAGCCGGCGGTTCTCTTGATGTTAAGTGAAAATCGCCGCCCAACATTTGCAACGCCCGTTACGGTTGCGTCACCTTTTAATAAAGTGTTCTCCGATTACCTCACTCACCAGACGAGACGCTGGTCTTATACTAATGCAAATAAACCGAAAAAAAAAAAAGGTTAAACAAGGGGCATATAGAATAAAAAAATAGTTCTATTATTTGTTTTTTTTTATGCGAAAAGTTGTCAAACGAGCAGACGGTTCACCTGATCTTAAGTGAATACCGCCGCCCATGGACATCTGCCACACCCGAGGGTTACAGATGCGTTGACAACCTTTTGAAAATTGGGCTCCAGTTACCTCACTCACTAGACGAAACGCGAAAGTATTTGTCATACTTCCACTTTACGCTGGTCTTCTGTGACGTCGTGGTACTTACCCGGACTGCACCTATATACTGCCCATTCGTGCAACAGTCGAGGCTTTTGCGTGGCCCTACCACCGTAAAAATAGATTACATTTTCCCCAAAACATAACATACACTGACTGAGTACGTTCGAATAATAAATGATTGTTAAACAAGCTCTCTCTTAGAGCAGATAGAGTAGGGAGTAATCATAAGCAAATATTTCACTTATGTTTGCGAAGCGAAGAACATTATAACCCGATATAGAACGTACACTCGGCACGCGCTCGTATTTTCAGTCAATAAACGGGGAAATTTTTGCCGAAAGCTAAAAACTCTTATTAGAGGGCGCGCGCGGCGGGCTGTAAAACGAGCACGGGATATATTGCGGTTTGCTTTTAAACATTAAACATTTTCATCTCATTTCGTTGCTTATTTTGCCGGGGCCTAAAAAGAGCCAATAAACTTTATGTACCTACCCTTCATCCGGTTCCGTCTGTGCTTTTTAATTTTTGCTCTGTCAGCGGAGATGCGTCTAGTTATGCTAGAACGAGTCGCTTTATGAATGTGGTGAATTTGGCAGGTTTGGGATATACACGTATCACGTAGTTCGAGGGAACACTAAACTTTTGTCCTTCTTTTGTTTATTTTATTTTTGTATTGGAATTTTGAACGGCTAACCCTTTCTATAAAAATATCTAAATTCGTATTATGAACGGCCATTTATAATCGGAAAC